AAAGGATGGTTATCCAGTGCACTGGTTATTCGTTCTGTTAAGGCAATAATCTCATGTCTGTGGGTGGCACACAACTAGCAATTCAAATAGTTGCAAACCTGCTACAATGGCTATTGTTACCCCTATAGGGTGCCAATGTCTTTATATTTCCCCTCCTTACACAAGAACTCATTGGATAAGCAAAGCTGAGTTAAACACATTTTTGTTCCTCTCCACCACACAGAGGGTGGTTGGATCATGCATTCACATCCAAAAGCTCTCTAAATTTTGTGGCCCGTTATAAATGGAACATGAAAGACTGGTTTCTATTTCATTTTTTAACATATTTTTAAATAGAGAATGATACCACTACCCCATACTCTACTGCTCCATTCATGAAGCATTGCCGTACTCAGAATTCCTTTATAATCATATAATTTCACTGTCTACATTCTACTAGCAAGTGTAACTTTTAAATAAAGACACAATACTGTACAATAATGTTAATGCATAACATTTGAACACTCCCATTCAATAACATCACAATTCATCCACTCGTTTCTTTCTAGGAACAGAGTAAAGGGTAAGTTCTTCATATTCTTCGCTGCATGTCTCAAGCTCACAACACAAAGCATGTGGCATGTGTACAAACAATGACCTGTCTGCTGGAAGAAAATAAAATGACATGAGTACAGTTGTGGCAGATCTACTGCTACACATACTGCAGCTTTTATCAGCAATATCCATCACAGGGAAAAAAAAAAAATTTGAGAGATCTATAAAAGTTCACCATGCAAACATATTTTAAAAGGAGAAGTAGAGCCAAAGCTCTTTTGGCTGTAATTCCCCTGGGGATCACAAAAGTGCACTTTGTTCTGCACTCCTGTGACTCACTTCCAGCCAACAGCAGGCTAAAGCCCCATCACAGAGCCTGTACAGAGTCTGAACATATCCTGACATTAATGTCGGGATCCAACCGGATGTATGATAGGCAGCTGGCTTCGCCGCAGTTCTCTGTGATAGAAGCGGTGGGGTATGAACACAGCATCGGACTGATGCGGAATCCACCTAGGGGAGTATAGATTTTGATTTTTTTATTCCCAAACTTTTCTTTTAAGTGTACCTGTACTTACACTACTACAAGGCTAAGGCAAGACTAAGATTGGTGGCCTTTTTAACCAGTAGAGAGGCTGAAGGGAAGGCAAGTTTAGGAACCGTAGTCAAAATTTGCACTGATAGGATGTGCATACATTTGTAAATTCCTGCTTTACAGATTACAATTTTCAGTATAAGTGCAGGTTTGCTTTAAAGAACTGAATTCAGACAAGCCTATCCATATATTTGTATAATATTAGGTTATGGGTACTCCAAAAGTACCTGCAATTACATTCATAACAAGTTTGCAGTGCATGTATTGATCGACAGTCAATGCGTCTGGGTATGCCCACTGATTAGCTTGCATGGTCTGCAATGGTCTGTTGTTCACAGTGCACAGAGAACCTTTTTTGCCATTAAAAGTCTTCAGGTTATATAGTAAGAAATATCTGATGTGCACACATAGGTAGCTATTCTCACTGCCTTCATTATGGTGTTTGTTTAGCTGCATATTGGCAGAGGTTTCACCATTCATGCATATGGCATAGCCTGTGTGACCTGGATGTTTGAGTTCTAGGCATGTATTCCTAACTGCACGCAGGATCATTGAAAAATGCTGAAAAAAAAAAGTTGACACAGGCAAGAAAATGTATTGCTCACACATTCTATTTCCATGGATTTATATTCGTGAGTATTAAACCATGTAACTCATCTAGAAACACAGTAAATAGCAATTATATCAATATTTATTTTCAATCCATTCACTTCAAAAGAAGACAGTGTTACATCAGATGCCACGTCTGCTGAGCCAATCCTAAAGCCTGTATTACCACATGCCTAGTTATCTAGGTAGAAGTTCATACTTAGATCTTTGTTTTGAAGCCCAGGGCTATCAATGCTTTCTGAGAGCTATGTGCAAACAAATCCAGCATAGATGCCATTATTGTCTAGGGTGTCAGCAATTATGGATGCTCAACCAAGTACAAGGCTTACTTATAAATGGACCCAGTCATCCCAGGGTCACTTGTAAACTAACCATGCCCTGTAAAAGAAGAGTATGTTTACCTTTCAGGTGGCCTGTGTCTTTAAAGTCCAGCAAATTGTTTTTTACTGGCTACTGCAGGTATTCAACATTTCCATGCAAATCCCACTGTACACTGGCTTCTCAGCCTGTGGGGAAAGAAGTGGGTATTCAGACACTTGGAAGTGCCGAATACCTGCAGCAAAGATCAAAGACGCAGGTTGCCGGAAAGGGAAGTATAGAGGCTTTTTTTACAGCATCTGCTTAGTTTACATGTGATTCTGTGGGATGCCTTTAAAAATTGAATATACTGCTAAACAAGTCTTAAAAAGCTTTAGGTATCATGCACACTCCTGGCAGGAGAAAAGCAGCTTCAAAACACGGGCCTAAGCTGAGTTTTTGCAAATGTGTTTAGGCATGTCAGTCATTTGGGCTTTTTTTTCATTGGTCAGATTATTATTTATTTTGGCCATTCAAATGAAAAAACACTCAAGAGCTAAATGCGCCTAAGGTTTAGGGGTGTTTAGGCATTATGACTGACAAATCATTTGAAGTGCCTATAATGCATGTAAAGGATGTTTTTTCTCTGCCTCTAAACTCCTGTAAATGCCTGTGTACGCATAACACAAGATTACCATGGAGGGGTGTTTAGAGGCAGAAAGAAAAAAAAACAACAAAACACGTCAATCACCTATAAAACTGGCATTTTTTAACTTGTGTGCATCAGGACTTATTGTCCAGCTGTATATTCCATAAATATATTTTTAAATCCCACAATTGTAACTGCATGAAATCTTTACTATCTTTCCACATTCCGTAAACTGCAGAAATCAGACTGAGAATGGGAAAATATTGCACCATGCACTAATCCATGTTTACTGCATTCCATAATGCTACCAATCTACCATGTTTTTAGGCACTGGGATTAGACAGTTTACAGCAGGGGACAATCACACGACGAGCTCACCCATCCAGTGAGCAGACACAGAAGAGCTTCAGTAGTGACTAGTGGTATCACCCTGCCAAATACACCACATTGCCAAAAGTATTGGGACACCCCTCCAAATTTATTTCAGGGACTTATATAGCGCTGTCCATTTACGCAGCACTTTACATATATATTGTACATTCACATCAGTCCCGAACACTCAAGTGGTATACAATCTAAGGTCCCTAACTCCCATTCATACATAGAGTACACATACTAGAGCCAATTTAGACAGGATCCAATTAACCTCCCAGCATGTCTCTAGAGTTTGGGAGGAAACCGGAGTACCTGGAGGAAACACATGCAGGCACAGGGAGAACATGCAAACTCCAGGCAGGTGGTGCCATGGCTGGGATTCTAACCAACGACCCTAGTACTGCCAGGCAGAAGTGATAACCATTCACTGGATTCAGGTGTTCCAATCACCTCCATGGCCACAGGTGTATAACATCAAGTACCTAGGCATGCAGACTGCTTCTACAAAGATTTGTGAAAGAATGGGGCGCTCTCAGGAGCTCAGTGAATTCAAGCATGGAACCATGATAGGTTGCTACCTGTGCAATAAGTCCATCCATGACATTTCCTTGCTGCTAAATATTCCACGGTCAACTGTTAGTGGTATTATAACAAAGTGGAAGCAACTGGGAACAACAACAACTCAGCCACAAAGTGGTAGGCCACGTAAAATGACAGAGTGGGGGCAGCGCATGCTGAAGCACAGAAGTCGCCAACTGTCTGCAGAGTCAATAGCTACAAACGTCCAAACTTCCTGTGGCCTTCAGATTAGCACAACAACAGTGCATAGAGAGCTTCATGGAATGGGTCTCCATGGCCGAGCAGCTGCATCCAAGCCTTACATCACCAAGTGCAATGTAAACCATCAGATGCAGTGGTGTAAAGCACGCCACCACTGGACTCTAGAGCAATGGAGATGCATTCTCTAGAGTGACAAATCACGCTTCTCTGTCTGGCAATCCGATGGACATGTCTGGGTTTGGCGGTTGCCAGGAGAATGGTACTTGCCTGACTGCATTGTGTCAAGGGTAAAGTTTGGTGGAGGGGGATTATGGTGTGGGGTTATTTTTCAGGGGTTAAGCTTGGCCTCTTAGTTCCAGCGAAGGGAACTCGTAAGACATTTTGTACAATTTCATGCTCCCAACTTTGTGGGAACAGTTTGGGGATGGCCCCTTCCTGTTCCAACATGACTGCGCACCAGTGCACAAAGCAAGGTCCATAAAAGACATGGATGATTGAGTTTGGGGTGGAGGAACTTGACTGGCCTGCACAGAGTCCCGACCTCAACCCGACAGTCTCCGCTCTAAATCATCTCAAAGGTGTTCTATGAGCCAGGCCTTCTAGTCTGACATCAGTGCCTGACCTCACAAATGTGCTTCTGGAAGAATGGTCACACATTCCCATAGACACTCCTAAACCTTGTGGACAGCCTTCCCAGAAGAGTTGAAGCTGCTATAGCTGCAAAGGGGGGGCCAACTCAATATTGAACCCGACAGACTAAGACTGGGATGTCATTAAAGTTCATGTGCGTGTAAAGGCAGGTGTCCCAATACGTTTGCCAATATAGTGTATGTACGGATGTGTGAATCACAAGAGTAACTTAACATAGATGCAAGTAATTTGTTAGGTACTTTTTGCATACATACATCTCAACTGTGCGTATTTAGTTACAGTTTTGCTTTAAACAAGCTTATTTGTATCAATGGGAAAGTGGTTTAATTCCCAAGATGCTCAGATACATGTCAGCAAGGGAACAGTCTGGTCTCCCACTGAGAAGCCATGGTGTGTAGACCGATGACGTTACAAATCTTCATACCAGAAGAAGTGTCTTCTGACTTATTGTCTGATAGCAAGAAAACATAAATTAAAAGACTGAGACATTCATTGTTTTTATTTACTTACAAAAAGCTGAAGAAACTTGAGGATTCTCTTATGGGTAAGAATATAAAGTGCATTCCCACTGACTGGGTCGATTACCGGCAATCTGTGGATTTTGTTTTTGATCAGTGAATACACTGCATCATACAGGCTGTGAGAAAGAGATGGCAGTATTAGAGAATGTAAATTAACTAGGAGGAAATACACAGCATTATTTTTACATGGAGAGGATACAATATGTATCTAATATTAAAAGATTTAGGTTCCATGCACACTAGTGTTTTTGAAGCTCCTAGAAGCTGTTTATAGCATTTTGTTCTGCTCCTAGAAGCTGAATAGTGTTATCCTATGTGTTTATGCACACTACTTCACCCTAGGTTGACACCTAAGCGTTTTCCACAGTGTTTTGCAGAAACTTACTACAGTCCATTTAACATGATTTCCTATGGGACATGTTCACATCTCCGCGTTTTGACCCGGTGCGTTTTTTGGAAAGGGTCAGGGAATTTTTCCGAATGCAAAAAGTTGAATTTTTGGTTATATAGACTTCAATAGAAATGCTACAGAAAAGCATGTAGTGTGTCTGATGCGTTTTAAATCTGCCTAGAAACAAGAAAAATGAAAAAAAAAAAAACCAAACCAAATACGCATCAAAAACGTAGGTGCAAAAAACACAAACCACAATGCAGAAATGGGTCAAACGCAACCCGCATAGGTGTGAACCTAGCCTTAGGGTATTAGCATTTTTTGAGCTTCTGCTTCTAAGAGCAGAAAAAAAAACATTTGTAGAGTTTTTTGGAGCGTTTTTCCAGCAAAACACGCGAATAGCTTCTAAACGCTCCTAAATGCATCTAAACGCTACTAACAGCTTTTTTCTAGCTTTTTTTTTTCTATATGTACTGTAAAAAAAACGTTAATAAAAAAAAATCACTAACGCTCCTAAATACTACTGAAAAACGCTATTTCGAGCATTTTTTATCCAGTGTTTTTCCAGCGTTTTTTTAAGCTTAAAGAAATGTGAGTGTGCATGGAGCCTTAAAAAAACAAATCTATCTTTCCTAGTCACAACTTGCATCGTTAGACTTCATTTTCACACTGTCATTAGTCAAATGGCTGTTGAAATCTATTTGATACTACAGAGAACACTTGATGAAAGACAAGATCTACACTTATTACGTTTTTTAATTGAAGCAGTAAAAAGCAAAGTCCATTGCTTACTATATCAGGCCCTCCTCCACCAAAAAAAAAAAAAAAAAAAAAAAAAAAAAAAAAAAAACGCACGCAGAGGATGTTTCTCTGTTTGTTCATTGCCACTAGAGATGAGCGAATCGAAGTAGGCGAAGTGGAATTCGAGTCGAATATTGGAAAATTTTCGATTCGCACCGAATCCGAAAAATAGCCTACTTCGGACGCGCGAATCGAAATTTTTCCTAAAATGGCGGCGGACATGTGCGGCGACGGAGCGGGGATGTCTGGGAAGGCGCGCAGACAAGGCGCGCGACCCATAATGCATTCCTTAATGACATGTGATCGCATTAGCCAATCAGCATCCAGGCAGCCAGCACTGTGTAATGGTCGAGCTATAAATAGCGGCCATTTTAGAATTCTTCATTTGCCTCCAGTCATTCAAGAGAGGCAGAACCGCTCTGTATTAGGGACAGAGTTAGGGCCACAGAAACGTTACTTGGGGACAGAGAAACGTTACTCAGGGACAGAGAAGCATTACTCAGGGACACAGAATTGTTAATGAGGGCCACAGAATCGTTACTTAGGGCCAAAGAAACGCTAGTTAGGGCCACAGAATTGTTACTCAGGGACAGACAGAATTGTTACTGAGTGCCAGAGAATTGTTACTTAGGGCCACAGAAACGTTAGTTAGGGCCACAGAATTGTTACTCAGGGACAGACACAGAATTGTTACTGAGGGCCACAGAACTGTTACTTAGGGCCACAGAAACGTTATTAGGGCAACAGAATTGTTACTCAGGGACAGACAGAATTGTTACTGAGTGCCAGAGAATTGTTACTGAGGGCCACAGAAACGTTAGTTAGGGCCACAGAATTTGTTACTCAGGGGACAGACACAGAATTGTTACTGAGGGCCACAGAACTGTTACTGAGGGTCACAGAACCGTTACTGAGGGCCACAGAATTGTTACTCAGGGACAGACACAGAATTGTTACTGAGTGCCAGAGAATTGTTACTTAGGTCCACAGAAAACGTTACTCAGGGACACAGAATTGTTACTGAGGGCCACAGAACTGTTACTTAGGGCCACAGAAACGTTAGTTAGGGCCACAGAATTGTTACTCAGGGACAGACACAGAATTGTTTACTGAGGGCCACAGAAACGTTACTCAGGGACACAGAATTGTTACTGAGGGCCACAGAACCGTTACTTAGGGCCACAGAATTGTTACTCAGGGACAGACACAGAATTGTTACTCAGGGACACAGAATTGTTACTGAGGGCCACAGAACCGTTACTTAGGGCCACAGAAACGTTACTCAGGGACACAGAATTGTTACTGAGGGCCACACGAAAACCGTTACTTTAGGGCCACAGAATTGTTACTCAGGGACAGACACAGAATTGTTACTGAGGGACACAGAACTGTTACTGAGGGCCACAGAACCGTTACTTAGGGCCACAGAAACGTTAATCAGGGACACAGAATTGTTTACTGAGGGCCACAGAACCGTTTACTTAGGGCCACAGAATTGTTACTGAGGGCCACATAACCGTTACTTAGGGCCACATAATTGTTACTCAGGGACAGACACAGAATTGTTACTGAGGGACACAGAATTGTTACTGAGGGCCACAACCGTTACTTAGGGCCACAGAATTGTTACTCAGGGACACAGAATTGTTACTGAGGGCCACAGAACCGTTACTTAGGGCCACAGAATTGTTACTCAGGGACAGACACAGAATTGTTACTGGGGGACACAGAATTGTTACTGAGGGCCACAGAACCGTTACTTAGGGCCACAGAATTGTTACTCACGGACAGACACAGAATTGTTTTCTTGAGGGACACAGAATTGTTACTGAGGGGCCACAGAACCGTTACTTAGGGCCACAGAACGTTACTTAGGGCCACAGAATTGTTACTGAGGGCCACAGAACCGTTACTGAGGGCCACAGATTTGTTACTCGGACAGACACAGAATTGTTACTCAGGGATACAGAATTGTTACTGAGGGCCACAGAACCGTTACTTAGGGCCACAGAATTGTTACTCAGGGACACAGAATTGTTACTGAGGGCCACAGAAACTGTTACTTAGGGACACAGAATTGTTACTGAGGGCCACAGAATTGTTACTGAGGGCCACAGAACTGTTACTTAGGGCCACAGAATTGTTACTCGGACAGGACACAGAATTGTTACTCAGGGACACAGAATTGTTACTGAGGGCCACAGAACCGTTACTTAGGGCCACATAAACATTAATCAGGGACACAGAATTGTTACTGAGGGCCACAGAACCGTTACTTAGGGCCACATAATTGTTACTCAGGGACAGACACAGAATTGTTACTGAGGGACACAGAATTGTTACTGAGGGCCACAGAACCGTTACTTAGGGCCACAGAATTGTTACTCAGGGACAGACACAGAATTGTTACTCAGGGACACAGAATCGTTGAATTAAAGAGTATGTCAGACAACATGCAGAGGAGTGACAGAGGAGGCAATGTTTTAGGAGCGAGCAGACGTGGCAGCAGAGGAAGGGGTCGAGGCAGCACTATTCGCAGCCAGAGGCCAGTGCTCCCTGGGTGTCATCAGCGGTCGTGTCTCCACCGACAACCCTGCCGTCGTCGATTGGTTGGCTCGGTCGTCTTCCTCTTCCCAGGTCACCTCTGACACCTACAGCCAACGGTCGGTGGGTACGTCAGACACAACCGTTAGTTGGCATGGCCCGGGACCAAGCCCCACTGAAATCACGTGTCCCCTCTACCTGCCCCTGTCCTTTGGTGTTCCCTCACCAAGCGAAGTATCGCATGCTCTGGCTCAGCCCCACTGTACAGTGAGGAAGAGCTAACAGAGGGGCGGTTCAGGAACGGGGGGAGACATCCGCCCTTTTTCAGCAGCCAGGCGAAGAAGTAGTGGCGAGGAGAGTGCTCGGTAGCCGGTCTAGAGACAGGTCTGTCTCCTGACCCTCACACGCAGCCGAGGGGGCTAGTAGTGAGGCGGAGAGACCCTAACTTGATGATGAGGAAGTTGATCGCACTTGGCAGCCTCGTCGTCATCAGGCAATTTCTTCCGCATCATCAGGAGAAAGAGGGTGGCAGCTTGGCAGCGAGCAAAACAGTCGGTGGGTTGCCCAGGAGACAGCAGCAGGGTCGCAGCAGTGTCAGTGGAGCCAAACGGCCACGGAGAGTAGAGCACCAGCTCCACTGCAGCCTACCACCACGGCCAGTCCAGTAGTGGTGCCGGTGTGCACGGAGGAAGCAGCAGTCAGCCAGTGAGGAGTATCGGGGGCAAAGTTTCCTACTCGGGTCGGTGTGGCAATTTTTTGTCAAGCCGCCCGAGGGAAGTAAACGTAGCCGTATGTCGACTATGTGGCCAGAAAGTCAAGCGTGGCCAGGGGGGCCCATGTTGGGACTACAGCGTTGCGGCAGCATATGCAGCGTCGCCATTTGGTGGCCTGGGAAAACCGTGATAAAGATACGGCGTTTCTGCCCGCCCCAGCCCCCGCTCCATCACCCGCCCTCCGTTACTTGCTCCGTCACCCTGACGTCAATCGCCCTCCATCAGCCAGTCAAGGCTCCAACACCTCTGCTGAGGGGAGTTGTCGCTAGCGTTGGCATCTTCCGCTCGTTCAGATGCTCCTTCTCCTGCTACTCCTCTTCACGGATTCCGTCAGCAGTCTTTCTTGGAATCCGTTTCCAAGAGACAACAGTTTTTGCGAGCACGCACCCGACGGTGCAAAAGCTGAACGTCCTCCTGTCCAAGTTGCTGGTGCTGCAGTCCCTCCCTTTCCAAGTGGTGGACTCAGCACCTTTCCGAGAAATGATGGCTTGTGCCGCGCCGCGGTGGAGAGTGCCAAGCCGTCATTCTTTCGCCAAAAAGGCAGTGCCAGCCCTGCATTCACATGTAGAAGAGATGGTGGGCCAGTCTTTGAGCATGTCGGTCTCTGCCAAAGTGCACGGCAGCGCCGACGTGTGGAGCTGTAACTACGGTCAGGGA